CTGGCTTGGGAACAGCGCGAAAAGCACCGCGCACGGTGGTGTAACAGTGATCCAGAGTGTTCTCCTCTCTGGTCGGGCATTTGATAAACTGTCTGTATTTGGGTAATTCCTGGCTCAAGTTTCCCTTATTAAAATCCCCCAGGATAATAATCAGAGAGTCCGGGTATAAACGCTCCATACACAGTACTTGTTCTGCGAGTGCGTGCTGAGCCTCGCGCGCGTCCGCGCATGGCGGTATGTAAACAGAGGCAAGAATGAATGAAACAAATTCACGAGGGGAGTAAAATGGTTTACAATGAATGAAAAGATATTCCAGAGCAGGAGAGCAGTGCTTGGAGATCACTGTCACATCGTTACACCAGTTTGTATTGACGTAGAAACACAGCCCACCGCTTCTGCTCTTCCCTGAGAGCGCACAATGGCGATCCGCGCGGAACAGCCCAAAGCCCTGCAGCTCCAGAGCGCAGTCCGGGATCCGCTCATTTAGCCAGGTCTCAGTGAAGCAGAGGACACAGGATGTGGCGAAGCCCTTGTTTCTTCTCATGAGCAGGCTGAGTTCGTCCATCTTATAGTCCAGTGAGCGTACGTTGGAGAGAAAAATGCCGGGGAGAGCCGTGCTCCTCTTCTCCTCAGACGCACGAGCAGGCCTCCGCGCTTTCCACTTTTACGGGCCCACACTTTTTTGGCTAGAACATGAACTAAATCAGCCGCAGATGCCAAGAAAACAGGCAATAAGGGTGAAGGGGGTCAACGCATCCCATTGGTTCGTTAGGGATAAACGAATCCCATTGGTTTATTTTTATCAGTCCGCTCCAGAATATTTTTTATTCATTTTTGGAGACTACAGGCATCTGGTCACTTCCATTACTATTTGAAAACACATGATCACTGGGCGACAGTGGCTCAGTTCGTGGAGCGTTGGCCTTTGGGCCCAAAGGTAGTGGGTTGTAGCCCACCACGAGACCTTCCCCACCGACTCCCACTGATGTCTGCTGTTGTTGTGTCCTTGGGCAAGACACTTAACCCACTTTGCCTTTAAGGAGCGTTGAAGTGATGTTCGCTGCTTGCCTTGATGTATTTGTGTATATGTATGCATCAAACTGAAATTTCCCCATTGTGGGACAAATAAAGGACCTTATTCTTCTCATGATAACTTGACAACTTTTATTGTTTAGGAACGTTTTCCCAAAATAATTAAAAAAAACAAAATCACCGACTGCATCTTTAAGCGGCACTGTGGCAGAGTGGTTAGCCCTGTTGCTTCTCAGCAAGAAGGTCCTGGGTTCAAAGCCGGTTCACGTATGGTATGGTGTGTAGTTGTTCTCTTTGCCTAAGGACACAATGACTGCCACTTTTCAGCCCCAGCCGCCCCACTGCGGCCCCTGGTGTTCCCAGAGGTCTCCCAGTTGTCACATTCATTTCATGATTAGAACTTCTGGTACAAACATGTAGCTCCGCCCCTTAAAAATAATGCGTAATATTTCTCCTTTATAATCCCATATTCTCCTGCCTGTTAGCTTAACAACTCATTGGTTTTTTAAGATCCTGTTTAAGTCTGAGTCCTGTAGAATCCCAGAATCTCGTGCAGAAAACTCCTGGTTTGCATGTTTCTTCGCACAGGCACATTCCTCCTCAGACTCGGCGTACTTTACCCCCTGCGGTTTATGAGCTCAGTAAAAATCAACACGGCCGCATCTCAGAGTGTCCCATTGTTCAGTGTTTTCCCCGTTTTGTGCCGTTTACGTGGGCGTCTGTGTTTTACCATTCTGTATCTGGAATAGTCTCTGCTGGAACTTGGCGTCTGCTCAAACTGCAAACATGTTGAACAGTGGGGTGAGAAAGTTTAGGCACCCTGGATGAAATTTGAAGAATAAAATGGTCTCCAAATATCCTCGGGTTACAGATGTGACAGTCCCAAAAAAGAAAACCTGAGAAATTACCTTAGTCATTGGCTTGTTTACAGTTGTTGCTAGGAGAAACCAGCATAAGCAGAATTCATAGTTTTATAAGACCTCAACCAGCGGACATGGGATCATCTGAGCAGTTACCTATGGCTGTAGCAGATCTAGGACTGAAGCTGTAAGAGATCCAGGACTGAGGCTGTAGATCCAGGACTGAGGCTGTAGATACGGGACTGAGGCTGTAGATACGGGACTGAGGCTGTAGATACAGGACTGAGGCTGTAGATACGGGACTGAGGCTGTAGATACAGGACTGAGACTGTAGATCCGGGACTGAGGCTGTAAGTCCGGGAGTGAAATAATATTGTATTTCCTAACTTTAAATGACCATTTTCCAAACACAAAATCCACAATAATTTCACCAAGAGGTAAAAGATTTAGGTTTGCAATGGCCTGTAGGGATCTAGTTCTTGGCACAAAAGGGTTATATAGTATTAATAGCCTCTGTGTAATTGACAGAGCCTCCCACAGAACACAAAAAGGTGGAACTTTTAATCACCGCTTGTTTTAATGCCATGGAAACCACGTCAACATTGTCCACTCTCCGCTCTCTCAATAGAAAAACTCGCTCCTTATAGGGGATTGTGAATAAAAAGCTGACTTAGTTTGGGCTGCGTTTGTATCATGATATCAATTATAGGTTTCCCATGCCAAATATTCAGCCAATGGTTTGGTTTGAGGCCGGTGTGAGAGCCTGTTTACTCTGTGGGGCAGCTGCAGAGAGAGAGAGAGAAATGTGCGATGGGAGAAAGCGCCCGAGCTGCGCAGTGGTGGTCCTTGTTACTGTTGGAAGAAAAGAGCCCAGACAAGAGACGTGTTGGTCCTGGTGACTGCTGGAAGAAAGAAAGCTGCTTTACAATAGTGCGTTTGTGTCAATCGTCGTGGAAACAACATTAACAGCTGCTGGATAGATCTGGTGTGGAGGTAAGGCTGCTTAAGAGAAGGGTTGGAAGAGCGAATAGATGGATTAATTATTGGATTTGTATTTGCATTCATTTTGTCCCTAAACGTGATCTAGATTAGATTGTATTAGATTAGAAATATTCTTATAAATTAAAGACCATTCTTTTGCCAGAGAGAGGAAGTTTTAAAAGGTCTGTTCAGGTCTGTTGTGGATGTGGACTTTATAAGTGATAGAGGACTACGAGAATCAAAAATCATGTTCAATCATGTTCCAAGCATTCTCCGTTTGACTCTTTTTGAAGGAATAGTTTATGTGGTTAATCCCGCCCACACTTTGACCCCCTTCCTGAATTGACTAAATAAATTATAACTTGTATAGATAACCTTCCATTAAGGTTTGTTAATTATCTGAGCGTGTAATTTACCACTTCTGCCACCAGAGGAACTGAATGAATATTTAATATAGAATAATATATATATTTATTTTTGTTTTCCTTTGAGAAGAAATGTCCGCACATGCTGGGTGATTCACAAATTTGGAAGTGTTGGAAGGGGATAGGTGTGGTGGACAAAGGACTGAGGGAAGAGCAATGGTGGTGCGCGGATATGAGCATATAAACAAGGGGAACCTGACAATAACATGGTGGAACTTTAACTTTGAAAATGTATTGTGATTGATAAGCTGAGCGCTGAAATAACAAAGGCTGCAGCTACGCACACGTATCATATTGGAACACACTACACACTATGACGAGGCCAGTTTAGCAGCTTCAAGTCCCTAGACAAACTTAGAAGCACGGCTAACAACATCACGCCTCTTATCCACCTGTAGAATGTAATACTCAAGCTAAGTGCTGTTACAAAGTGCAAATCACAGTGCGAGCGGCTGTGAGACAAAAGCCTGGAGATGGAAAGTGAATGCTTGGTATTTGTGGCGACGCAGCTGTTGTGTCGTGAGCCGTGTTGAGTTGTGTTTGTGCGACCGCAGATGAACAGACTGTTTCATCGTCCACTTCAGAGCACTCACCAGACTAAACAATATTACAAACCTCCTTCTGATCCTCGATGATTAGCGAGTGCATTGTCCAAAGGTTTTCAGTATTTAGTTACAAAAGTTCATTATGTATTTTTTATGTTAAATGTTAGTTAGTGCAGATAAAAGTGTAAAGAAACTATTAATTTAACAGTATTAGCTTCTTTACACTTTTGTCTTCTAACCTCCTAACTGTTGACTTCTTGATTTTAAAAGGTTTTCAGTGATCTCCTTTCCATGTGCAGATGAAAAGATGTGAGATGAAAAACAATTCTAGATTTGTTCATCAAAATATATAATATATAATAATGTCATTTTTTTCATTGGCTATAGTGGGCATTATGACCTGGGTTTGAATCCCGGTTGGAACAGGGCCTTTCTGAGTGGAGTGGGCCTGTTCTCCTCGTATCGGCATAGGTTTCCTCTGGGTGCTCCGGTTTCCCCTACCATTAAAAACTTGTGCAATAGCTAAATCCTCCATCTGCGGTAGCCTTGACCAAACCGAGCATCACCATGGGTCCCGGGCGCTGTACGACGACCACTGCCTCTGCCCATAACGGATGTAGTCACGCTTATCTCCACCGTTCAAACAAATGTGTCATCACTTTCACCTTCAAAATAGCAGCGGGGGCCGGAAAATGTGAAAAAACGCATTTGCGCTGGAGTCTTAAAAATTCCACTAAGACTAAACTAGACTGGTCAGAAAAAATTCACTCCCCTCAGCATTGACACACATGTGGAAGCTGCTATACAGCATATTCCGGGTCCACCTCCATCGGCCCGGGATGGTCCTGCCCGGGACGGTCAGCGCACGTCATTTTGGACATTTTTGAGTCGGGACTTGCCCCCACTGCTCCTGCCTCAGCGAAATCAGAATGGGTCAAATGCAGAGGATGAATTGTTCTACAGGGATAAATAAAATGCACCTTTACCTTTACAATCTGTCGCGCACAGGCACTGATTAAAATGCAGTTTTGAAATTGAAAACATTGTTTCAGGATAAAATCCTGGAAGCTTTTCATTTTTTGTTCTCTAGATATTGAACACAGTGAGTGTTTGTGCAGAATCCGTGTGGTTTTCTAACATGTGTGTGGTCTCTGCAGCACCATCCTGGAGGAGGAGAAGCTGCAGCAGAAGGAGAGGAGCCGGATGGAGATGAGGCGACAGGTCACTGTGTCCTGGGACTCGGCAGGCTCAGACGAAGCTCCACCTAAAGTAAGAAACAAGCACAGTGTGTGTTTGTGGTCATACGGCTGGAGACGTGTGTGTGATCTGCTTCAAGAGCTTTTCTCTGTTATAACTGTTCCATTCACACAGAGCGAAACATGTGTCCAATACAAACATGGATCTCTATAAAACGGCTTGAACATGGGTCTTTTCTCCATTCCTCCTCAGTCTAAGACCTGACGTTGTTTTTAGATCATCCATGCTAATATGAGGAACTCCTGGCAACATGTAACTCCGCCATTCTGTAATAGTATGATGTCATTGTTCTCTGACATCCCACTACTACTCAAGTATTAAAGTATGGCCCATCAATTAGTTTTGGAGCTCTGGAGAAATTTTGTTGTTTACATGAACACGTCTTTATCAGCTGATAATTTTCTAATTCAAATAAAACAAATAAGAATCCTCTCCTCCCCCTGTGGTAGCACAGGGAGTTTCAGGCAGAAAGCATGTTTTACCGTTGAGAATAAAAGCTGAATTCAAGTCATTTTATGCCTGGAGATTACATGTTTGCAGTGTTGGGTCATGTTTTAGCTCCTCTGGTCACCGCGGCTCGGCTCTGCACTTCAATCAGAGACATATGGAAGATTCAGCTGTGTGTGTGTGTGTGGGAAAGCACACACACACTACAAGACTCTTTGTGTGAGGTACCCCTGCTTTAATTAAAAAAGGGTTATAATCGATATAATACAAGAAAGTTTACTCGGAGAGCACATACCCCGCCTTGGATCCTTTCAGCATCACATTTCAGCTTGATTTGTCCTGTAGTTTTTACACAATCCTGCTACACCTACACACACGCATGCACGCACACAAACACACACACACACAAACACGAACACATACAAACACTCAAAGACACATACATGCATACACAGACATACATACACGCACACACGTACACACAGTACTTAGTACATACATACAAAAATATACACACAGTGTGACAATGCAGCTAAGTAAAAATATGTTTTCCAACAAAGGCCAAAACTATTTTACAGTTAACGTTCTGGCTCCTTAGCAAGAAGGTCCTGGATTCGAATCCCGGTCGGTGCAAAAAATGTCTATGTGACAAGTTTGCATCATCTCCTGTGTCTGCGTAGGTTTCCTCCTAGCGCTCCGGTTTCAGATGCCTTTAAAAACACCACCCCCCAAAAAGGGCCTCCCTGAAAAAGAGATTCTGAACTCTCTCTGCTACGCTGTCCTCATGCTCTGCTTCTCATTTTAAAGCATTTTCTTCTCACAGATTTCCTCCCGTTTCCTTCTTCCCTGGTTTTTCATTTCATTTTCATTGTCACCATCTTCATATTGTTGACTGCATTCTCCTGTTTGTTTTCAGAAACTTAAATGTGTACATTAGGGCTGGAACATTTGTGAGTGGAGAAACTGCCAAATCAAAAACTTTTATTACCGCACAAATCCAGACGTCCAAACGGTTCTGGTCATTGGCTCACTGACATCATTAGTAAAGAGTTCAGGGTAAGATTAAGATTAAGATTAAGAGATCCTTTATTCGTCCCATAGTGGGGAAATTTCAGTGTTGCATCATAAGTTATAGAACAGTAGGAATAAGGAGCACACGGCACAAGATAAGTGAACAATAGCTATACTAATTTAAAAAATCTCTAACTCTAGCATCAAGTGGTACAGCCTGGGGATTGGTCCACAGGTCAAGAGTCCAGGGTACAGACTTTAATCTTCTACTTAAGCCTCCTTTAAAAGTCCTCTGCTTTTAACATTATTACAGCGCTATTTGGGCCAATGCTGTTTTTTAATTGATTCCCTCAAACTTTAATTAGAGGCAGTAAAACGACTATTCAGTTTGAGTGATTGACAGGTGAAAAATCAAAACAGACACGCCCACGAACGCGCCTGATTCATCGCGCACAGCTTCTCTCCTGAGTCCTGCGAGTACCAAAGTCATGGATGTATTACCACAGTCTATTGAGGCGAATGTGGCTGGACTTTATTCACGGGACTTCATTGCGTCTGAAATCTGCTACGAATATTTTTCTGCGACCAACACTTCACCAAAGACTGTTTCAGAACTGCGGTTACCATGCAACTGGACTTACTCAAAAGCTGATCTTGAAACCTGGTGTTATTCCTCAGTAAAAGACGCTAACTTAGGCTCAGGCTACGTCACATAGTGGAAGGGAGAGACAGGCTCACAGGCAGAGGGTCAGAGAACCACCCATTTCATCTTTATGGCTATAATTTCACAAGATTTGACTGTTGTATGGTGTATTACCCAAATTATTATCACACGTGCGCTTAGGGAAGACTGTAAGACATGAAGAAGAGCAAAATATGGGACCTTTAAAGTACTTATGTTATGGGGACTTAGGTTTTCTGCCCACTAACTCTCTTGGAAGTGCCATTCCTGCTGTCCAACTCACGCATGTACCTAAAGGACCTCCCATAAGTTTCCCATGTGTCCATCTGCATCTGTCTGTGATCACTGCGCTTGTCTAGCTGTTTGAAAAAGACATTGCTCCAGCCCTATCGTACTTTTATCTTTACTCTCCCATCTCTCCATCCTTACACTTTTCTCCCTGCTCTGCTCCTTGTCTTTCTCTTGTGTTTTCAGCCGAGTCGCCGCCCCTCCCTGCTGAGCACCCCCTTCACCCTGGACTGCTTCTCTCCTCCTTCACCCTACCACCATTACCACCACCACCACCACCACCACCACAACCCCAAGCAGCTCCCAGACAAGCTGCTGTGCCTGGGGACCCCTCCTCCGCCTCCTCTCCCATCCACATCCTCTGCTCTCTTGCCAGCGGACGGCCCTCTCTTGCCTATTACGCATTCACAAACTCTCCCATACTTCTACAGGGAGACTCAGAACGGCTGTGTGTTTGCCGAGTCCCTGCTTTCTCTCTCCAGTCCCAACCTCTGCACACTTCCCTACAGCATGTCTGTCATATGTCAAAACCCCTGCGGAGCATATTCCCGCCTTAGGTCCTTGCCGAGCTTTCCCCCTACGCGCGCCGGGTGGGAGCAGCCCGTCACGAAGAGGCTGAGCGGCTCGCAGGCGGCCTTAAGCGCGGGCCAAACGCCGCCTTCGGCCCGCGCTCCTCTACCTCCACAGCAGCAGCCGCAGAAATCTCGCAGCTTCTCTGTAACCAACAGCTCTCCCCGCGTCGACAGACCCACATGCTTCCAGTCCAAGGCAGGTGTAGGAGTGGATCTAAGACAGCTGCTCACCACATGATTCTAGATTTGCATGTAGCATGTAGGGCTGGGCGATATGATGATGTTTGCAGAAGGGCTGGGAATGGGCAAAAATGTGTTAATTTGATAGTATTGCAATATTTGGCCACAATTCAATATTATTGCAGTCCTAAACATATTGCGTATTGTCGACCTTGTTACATGAATGGGAAGCTACCAGCACATCACTTACATTATTCAAAAACAACAGACTAGAGTCACAACAAGCAGACATCATAGAGTAACATAAACATCAGATGTAAATGACCAGAGTAAACTCAGGGAAAACACAAAAGCGAAACGGATAATTTTGTTTTAAATATTGCAATACTTTTCTCTACAGTATTGATTTAATTGTATGCGCAACATATCACGATACTGAACCACTAGTTTGCAGTAATACCAGTGTAGTATCTGATGTACCGCAATAGCATGTATGTGTATGCGCAATGGTGTTGATTACCTTTGGTCTGAGCGTGTGCAGTGAGAAACATTGGCTGCAGAAACAAACAAACTCAGCAATAAGTTTCCCTCCTAAAATCCTTTTCTCAGGTCGTGCCAAACGTCTGACAAGAGAATTCCATGTAAACACAACAGTAAATTCTCCCGTTGGCTCCATTGTTTTTCCCGTAAGTTAAACCGCAGGCGCTTCCCATAACGTTAGTATAATAGAAATGGACTGACCGAGTACTGACGTCACCATAGTGTATGCCTCAATGTGGAATACTAACTGGAACAGGCTATGTGAGCTTGAGCGCCAAATTGATGCACTTTTATTCTGGTAGCAGCGGCCGCGATTCCAAGCCCAAATCGGTAGTGGCGTTGGTCTGTCTCCAATTGGTGCTAAAGCTAAATTTGGGAACGAAAAGCTGTTGTTAGGGCTCATATCTGGCAAGACAATATCACAACAATAACACCAGGATCACAGGCCAAAAAGGTGAGAAACACAATGTGACACAAAGTTAGCAGATTTTACTTTTCAATGCGAGTCAATAGGAGCCAGATCGAGTTGGAGCAAAACTTCAGAAAGCATTGTGTGGGTGAGCATTGTTCATCTACATGTAATCTATGGGTATCTAGTCATACGCAATTATCACCTGATTTTCTGGTTTAAACATGAGACTAAAGTTCAAGTTTGCAAACATGGGGGAAAATCATGGAAGACAACGTAACTATAAAAATATAAATATCATAATTACAAAATGTTGGGCTTAGCTTACAAGCCCACATTCTCTTCTTGAATCTTTCTATTGTAATGAAAGTTTAAATGAGTAGCAAGTGCATTACTGTACAATTATCTGTAAATTGGCTATAACTTCTAGGGTTGTAACCGTTCTTGTTCTGTACATGATCTCTTAGCACTAGCCTTTCTTCCACCTTCTCATTGGCATAACTTTACAACAGTCTCTGCATGCTGTAATGTCATCTGAAACCTGTGCTGCCTGAGCTCTTGCATTGTCATTTCTGTGCCAAATGTGTCCTGCATAGTTTGATCTGTCCTTGGATTACTGCAGCCTCTTTCCACTCGGATCCAAATGCCATAGATTCACGTGGCATTCTGGGTTTAAGGGCTCCGCTGACCTTTTCCCACTGGAACTGCCAACATGACACAAGCAGACATCATCAATCTACTGGGACAATGCAAATACCACAGCTTTCAAGAACACGACAGATTAGAAACCAGAGTGCGGGGACCAGGCACACAGTATGAGCAGTAGCTGTTAGGGAACAGGGCCCAGAGAACAGGGCCCAGGGAACAGGGCCCAGAGAACAGGGCCCAGAGAACAGGGCCCAGAGAACAGGGCCCAGGGAACAGGGCCCAGGGAACAGGGCCCAGGGAACAGGGCCCAAGGAACAGGGCCCAGGGAACAGGGCCCAGGGAACAGGGCCCAGGGAACAGGGCCCAGAGAACAGGGCCCAGGGAACAGGGCCCAGAGAACAGATCCCAGGGAACAGGGCCCAGAGAACAGGGCCCGTTCTAGTCTTTAAAAGAATAGGCCACCGTTTTTACATACTGACATATGTTCTTACCTTACCTTAGACTAGTTGATATGTACCTGTCTGGTCTGTGTCCATGTGCTCTGTCATGCAAACGGAGCACAAACGCAACCTCTTCCACAGACTGTATAGTAACAAAACAGCTCCCGTTAGAAGCTACCAAACGCTTCCACGTGTTCCCTATTTAAATACAGTTATGTGACGTGTTACACTACAAAGTATAGTAACACAGAAGTGTAACATGTCGACTATATTGTGAGGTGTAATAATACGAGGAGCACTACGGCCGCGCACTAACTCCAGACTTCTCTCCCGCTCACGCTGCTTCTATTGACGGAAGAGCACGTGCTAGAGGAGGCGGCCTGTTTGCAACAGCACCGCCCCTCAATGAGCAAGTGGAGAAGGACAAGCGTCACACACAAAAAAGTCAACTTAACATTTGCAAGTCCTGCATAAGCTCAATCAATGAGCTCAATTTTTCAATTATATTTTTGTTTTTAATACAACTTGTATATAGTAATACGCATTTTTGTGAACTCATTGGAAAATTATTCAGGTATAGCTCCTTTAAGGGGGGCTAGAAAAATCACTGAATTCAACAAGATTCAAATTTGGTTTATTTTCCACATACAGTATGAATACTTGAGAAAGAGACCACATTTAGTTTGAACGCAGAGGAATATCTCAGGCCTTATTTTTGAACATAGAATAGGTTGTTGCTTACAAGTGGATCAGGCGAAAAGGTTCTAAAACTACACACAAGGGGCAATAGTTTACATAATGACAGCGCAACGAGCTATGGAGCTTTGTTTGGGTCAGTGAAGCTCTTAGCATCCGAGTTTGAGCTGTTGCACGTTCTCTTCTTTCCTTTATAAAGTTGTCCTCTTGAAAAATATGTTGGAAAGTGTCTGTGTTGCTCCATGTGGATGAGAAACTTGCTGTAGTCCATTATAATGTGATTGCCTATCATTTATGGTTATTTAGCTCTGAATTATTATTTACTAAGCACTTATCAGTCCTTATTCTACCTGGCCTTATTCAACATCTAATTACTCAACTACTAACTGACACTTTCCCATGTGGGTTCATGCTAGGGTTAGTTAGGTTCACTAATTAGCTCTCAATCAGCTGATAATTAGTGAGAGCTAAACCAAAGTGTTACAGAATATGGTACATAATTGCACAGACCAAAGGAGACATATTCCTAAATCGACTCCTCCTCTGGTGGCAGCACAGGGAGTTAAAGGCGGAAAGCTTTTTTACCCTTCATACTTGTTTCACCATATATTTTCCACTGTATGTACTATTTCACATTCTAAAACATGAATAAACAAAGTACACAGTCTCAATATTATTTTTAAAGGCCTAAATAAGATAAGAGTTCCTTTATTCGTTCCACAGTGGGGAAATTTCGATGTTGCAGCGCACATACAGGACAGCAGTAAGAGCACACAGGGAGCACATAAAATATACAAAATACGTAGTGGCTATGTTTCTTAACTTGCATAACTGGCTGTAGATGCTGGAAATGCTTCAATACCAGCCAAAAAATATATATATGTTGTAGTGCAGAGTTATGTACTGTACATATAGTGCAGGATAATAAGTAAAGTGACATTGTTCTGTGACATTCTGAAGTTGCAGTATTGCACATTGCACATGATTTAAGAATGTACTTATTTACAAATGAATGAAATTCACAGGCTCAGCAGTTTTTATTGTACAGTCTGACAGCAGCAGGAAGGAAAGACGTACGGAACCTCTCCTTCACGCAGCGAGGGTGAATTAGTCTGTCACTGAAGCTGCTCTCCAGAGCAGAGAGAATGCCTAATAATAATGCCTAATATTTCTTTCTATTGCCTGATATAGCATCTAATTTAAACCTAAAGTATTTTTTCAGTAAACCAAAACATTCCTATTGTTTCTTCTAAACTCATCACATTTCTCATTGGCCAACTGCTCTCAGTGGGCGTGTCCCTCTGAGGATCAACCGCTAACTCCGCCCAAGCGCTGGTGATCCAAGATGGCGCCCCATTCAAATGAATGGCTTGTGCTCAGTAGCACATGGGACTTCACGGGGACTGAAAGATTAGTGGAACTTGCCCATATTTGGGCATCGTCTGGTCCTCCCGGTTCTGCGCAGTGGACGAGCTCCCATGATGCATTACACCAAATACGCATGTTTGGCTCTGATGCACGTGCACAGAGGGGCTCTGCCGCGCTCTGACCAATCAGAGCTGCTGATCAGAGCAGTGGTAGAGAGGGGTCAGAGCGGGAAGGAAAACAGCAGAGTTTGTGGTAGTAAAGTGTGGATTTAAAGAAAACCAAAGGATGTAAGAAGGAAAAAAGTTCAGGATGACAAGGGACACTAAAATCCCCACAAAATCTAATCTTTATGAAAGTTATAGGATCACTGTCAGCTGAGGTCAAGCTGTTTTGTTTTACATTGAGTTCAATGGGACTTTGTTCTGGGTAGCCCACATGAATTTAGTCTGCAGTACCACGGGCGCCCCCTGTGCCCATGAGTGGGATAGCTTTAAGCTAGTAATACCCTATGCAGTTATTATTAAAGATCCATGACTCCGCCACACAAACTCTCCTGTGGGTTTGTGTGATGCTGTTTGACAAGTGTTGATCCTGACAGAAGGGATGGGGAGGAGCACATGTGGAGTTCAGTCCACCGTGCCATCATGACGTTTTCTCTCTGTTTTTAGCCGAGTCGCCCCGGTTACCCCAGCCCCCGCTCCAGTGAAGGATTCTACCCCAGCCCCCAGCACCCGGGACACTACCAGGTGAGCTCTTGTTTCACAATAAACTTTCTTCTTTAACAATAGAGCTTCCAGAGCAGTCAAATTGACAGCTTTTAGTTGAGTAATTGCTCAAAGTCTGTCTTTAAAAAATTATTGTATTATCAACACTAGCCTTTCAACAAAGCACTTAAAACCTTAAACAGAGCATATTTTGGGGGAATGACGGCTCTGGCAGTTATTGTGATAAACATGAAATGACAAAGTAAAGAGACAACTTTTTTACAGCCACAAAATAAAGTGTAATGTTTCTTCTTTAAACCAGGACTCAATCTCTCCTGTCTCTTAACTTGTGTGTCTTGGTTGGTTCTGTGTCCCTCAGATGGCTGGGTATCCGGGGCCCCACACGCTGCCCTCGGTCCCCAGTGCTCTGTACCCGCCCCTGTCTGCTCTGGACACTCACCACGCCCACACCCACCCACGCCACCACAGCCACGCACACTCCCAGCTGCTGCCCCACGGACCAGACATGGCTCTGTGGGGGTCCGCCATGGAGGTAATCACCAGGGACCCAGACCAGACCCCACGCATACACACTATGAAGGAAGGGACCAGAACAGGGACCAGGGTCGATTACACATGCCATGTAAAGACCAGAGAGACTGTGGACGGTCAGGACTGGAACTCTTCCTGAGCTCAGCACCTGGTTGCCATGGACCTTTAACCACTCCATGGCATAAGATGCTGATTTATAGTCTACAATTTATAAATGTGTTGTCAATCCATTTGAGACTTACGTAATTGTATTAATCAATTTACAGAGCAATCTTTACCCCCAGACTTGGACTACAGCAGCTCCAAACACAGGACCAACCACACCATTCGTTTTGTGTCTGTCATTTTTGCTTTGAGTTCTCATCAGTCCTGTGTGTGGTGTGGATGTGTTTGTGTTGTGTCGTGTTATGTACACGTGTATGTGTATGTTGTGTGCGTAGAACAGGGCTGTAGACTTGCCTCCCTGCATAAGCCCACAGCTGATGGAGGAGCAGCTCCTGATGCAGCAGCAGCAGATGGAGGAGGACCGGAGGTGGCTGGAGCATGAGGAGAGGCTGCTGGTAACCGCCACAGAACTAAAGACAATAAAACTGTACAAACGCTTTGGGGCACGGGTCTCCAAGTCAATGTAGCGGGGGGTCAAACAAAGTTGAGTTTGGGTAAAGCTGGGTCGCATAAAAAGTTACATCAGGTGCGTGTGCAAAAGGTACACTAAAGGTAGACAAAAAAGATCTATGCAACTGCAGAGATAGAACTAAACCACTAAAACGGCACATGCTGTTTTCCTTTGTACGCTCAGATTCAGATTAAGTTTATTTGCCATTTGCAGTAAAACCACATTGGAATACATGTGCAAAAAACCCTCAGTTAGCACCAGAGCCCCTGGATTGATAAATATTCCCCTACATTTCAAAAGAGACAAATACAGAATAACCAATGGCTCAAGTGTTTGTGGAAAGCTCAGAGCTCATCTTAAGAAAATGTATAATCACAAACGTTTTTTGACCAAAGAATTTCTTTTTTTGATCATCGGTTTAGGAATGTATAAAAGTATAAATCGTCAATTTTCTTTTACATTTGTTGTTTTTAACCACTTACAAACCTATTATGTGTATGACTTGTTGAAGTATTGCAAATAAAGATAGTTGAACTGAATGCGTATAGATATAATGAACAAAGAACAAAATGAGTTCAGCTGCTTGAAACAAAAACTGGACCAAAAAAGGACCAGTGATTTGCATTTGAGACTCAGCCTTTTAACTTTTGATTATTAGGCATGGCAAGTTTATTTATATAGCACAATTCATACACAAGGCAATTCAAAGTGCTGAACAAAACAAGAAAGCATTAAAATCATAAATAATCACAGAACATTAAAAAGAAAGATACAAATATAAAATATAAAATCCCTCAGTTGTATGCACAGCTAAACAGAACTGTCTTTAACCTGGTTTTAAACATTGTCAGAGAGGAGGCCTGTCTTAATTGCGTCCAGGGTTAATTTTTTATGGTAATATATATGATGTGGTTGTTTTCTTATATTAGATTAGATTATTTTTTTCAATGTTGTGGACTTTCTGTGGCAGCCGCACATTAATATTTATGTCCAGTAGGGGGCCCACAAAATGCCTTTTTGCCGTTGCATGTTTGAGACCCCTGCCTTAGAGAGGCTGCTGGGAACTCCAAAAACTAAATAATTAAAAAAGCCTTATTATATATATTATTCCTCTTCCAGATATGGGGCAACTGGCATTTACTCTGTTATTTACGCTATTATTTAACACAAGATTGTATGAAATGGGGCAGCTCAAACTAAAGCCATTTCCATCTCATGTCGTCCTGACCCTCCCCGTGTTCCTCCTGGAGCTGCGTGCTTTATTACAAGTTGATTGAGGAGGACCACTTATAATCAGAGGCCCAAACTACAGGTCCCCAACTCTGATTTTCAGTGTGTTCGTCAGCTGTGAAAGTGTGCATTCCACAGTAATTTAGAGCCTACCCCCACACAGCAGCTAACATGTACCACTCATAAAGAGAGGCCCAAACTACAGGGCCACTGTGGAGACGCAACTTTCTCTGTTTATATTTATAATGAGAGTCAATAAGTATTAAGAGGCCACAACTACAGAGCCTAGAGACTTTGGTTTGTGCTCCAAAGATCCACAAGTACTTTTACTGTGAGTTTGCATAAGTTTTAAAGTGTTAAAAATCTATCTTACAACTTTGTCAAAAACAGCGTCCCTTCTGTCAAAACGCTCTGCTTTCAAACAAACGAATCCTCAGACTGCCTTTTTTAATCAAACAACCGGAATCTCAGTCAAATAACATTCTCTACTGAGAATCAGATTGCGTTAAAATTTTACAACAGCTGAAAATAATTTCAACCTCAAGATGGCGGTGTTTCATTCATCCAAATCATTTCTTTATCCTTGTAAGTTAATGCAAGTTTATTTGTATAGCACAGTTCCTGCACAAGGCAACTCAAAGTGCATAACAAAACAAAATAGAAACAATCACACAAGGCATAAAAAATAACAGTACCTTAAAAAGAGTGATGATTAAATCCTTCAGTTGTATGGAGCTAAACAGAACTGTCCTGACACTGGGACCAGCAGGAGGCCAGTCCCTGTGCTCCTCAGTCCCAGTTAAAGGTAGAACTCCTTTCATTTATTAGATTAAAGATAATTTCATGATAATTATGACGCATTGACATAAACCTCACATAGAGACAGATCAAGTCTAGAAGATCACATATATACATCGGAGTAATTACACTTCCTATACAAAAAACTGATTTTAATTCACAAAGAGCCAAAGTACATATTCTCAGATAGATGGAGTATATAATTGCAGAATGAGCAGCGGTCGTGCGTCAGTCTCCGGAACCTTCCCTGGTTCCTGGATGGAGCAGTGTGAGAGCTGCAGGTGTGGCTTAGTGAATTCCATCTTAATGACAGAGGCCCAGATCCAGGACCGCAGACTGACGTGACTCCAGTCTGTGAGCGCTCTGTAAAAACTGAAGACCTGAGCTGAGCTGAGGGACCTGACTTTGTGTCCCAAAAATAAAAGGTGTTTTTCAGCAGAAAGTGTCTTAGCAAGAAGGTCCTGGGGTCAAGATAAGATAAGATAAGATTTGCTTTATTTATCTCACATAGGAGAAATTTACATGTCACATTTGGCATGGATAGAGACACTCAGATTGTGCAAAAGGATTGTGCAATTCTCCCTCAAGGCCTTTCTGTGTGTCTGCGTAGGTTTCCTCCGGGTGCTCCGGTTTTTCTTTCCATTAAAAACATGTTCAATAGGTCTGAATGTAATGAGTGAGTGGATGGATGGTGTCTATTGGAGGCTTTGACGCACTTGTGTGTTCTGCGTCTCGAAAAATGTCGAAATTCTGAACGTTCTAAAGCTCTTAGGGTGACTTTGGTCTGTAAAATGCGCTACATAAATAGGCATTACTTATTTACTTCAGACCACGTAGAAGCAACTGAGCCAGGAACTAGTGTCTAGTTACACTTCTTATTTCACATTGTAAAACATGAATTTGAATAGTCTCACTGTTAATTTTTATCATTTTTCGCCTTTAACATTTATGATAGCTTGAATCTTTTTTGTTAGTTGCTCTATTCGGTCTCTCTCTGGTGTCTCTTTGGTCTCTCTCTGGTCTCTCTCTGGTCTCTCTTTGGTCTCTCTCTCTGGTCTCTCTTTGGTCTCTCTCTCTGGTCTCTCTTTGGTCTCTCTCTGGTCTCTCTCTGGTCTTTCTCTCGTCTCTCTCTGGTCTCTCTTTGGTCTCTCTCTGGTCTCTCTCTGGTCTTTCTCTCGTCTCTCTCTGGTCTCTCTTTGGTCTCACTCTCTGGTATCCTTTCTGAGGGTATGATCTCGCTTTGGTCTCACTCTCTGGTATCCTTTCTGAGGGTAAAGCTGCTCATTCTTCTTGGCAAAAATCCTGCAGTTCCTGCAAATTCCTCGGCCACCTTGTATGAACCTCCCTCAGACCTACCCCACGATCTTTGGCTACAGATGCCTTTCACACGACCACTGTCCCTGAGTGGAAGAAAGTGAACTTGTCTAAACGTCTACCAGAACTCTGAGATCTCTCCACTATAGAGTCCTGTTCAACTCTGAGTGTTTTTGTAGTGTGTGGTTCTGGTTTTGCTGTCACTTTTTCTTCGAGGAGGGACAAACCACACTTTCTCGTGGAGGAGGGACAAACCACTCTGGAGCGTGGAGGTTTTATTGGCCGCGCCCCCCCTCCTGTTCCCCTCCCGTTTCCTCGTGAGAAAGTCCTGGTCTGATGGAGCCACATACAGAGCTCATGGGGAAAGTAGAGGCTGCAGTTTCTCTAGGATCAGATTATTGTACTCTACGATGCTGCTGTTCAAGTCCTGCCTGGGGAAACTGGTACGATGTGTGTGTGTCTCTCTGGTCTCTCTCCATTTTCTCTCTCTAGTCTCTCTGGTCTCTGTCTTGTCGCTCTGGTCTCTAGTCTCTCTCTCTGGTCTCTACTCTCTCTCTCTCTCTCTCTGGACACTCAGGTCTTTCTCTCTCTCTCTCTGGTCTCTCTCTCTCTAGTCTCTGTCTCTAGTCTCTCTCTAGTCTCTCTGTCTTTTCTCTCTGGTCCTGCTCTCTGGTCCCTCTCTCTGCTCTCTCTCTGGTCCCTCTCTCTGCTCTCTCTCTGGTCCCTCTCTCTGCTCTCTCTCTGGTCCTTCTCTCTGGTCTCTCTCTCTGCTCCCTCTTTCTGGTCTCTGTCTCTGGTCCCTCTCTCTAGTCTCTCTCTGGTCTCTCTCTCTCTAGTCTCACTCTATGGTTTCTGTCTTGTCTCTCTGGTCCCTCTCTCTGCTCCCTCTCTCTGGTCTCTGTCTTGTCCCCGCCTCAGCATGAATGTAGCTAAAAACAACTTCAGGTCTGTTTTTGATGAGAAACAATGTTTGCACATGGATAAAAATGACTTTGCATACGTTTCTATTTTAACCCCTTCTGCCTCTGACCTATTTTCTCAAAAGCCTGAAAAATTTGTCGAAATCCAAATTGAATCTGAATATCTTTGGAGCACACACAGATGTCTGGACTTTTTGTACTTTTTGCTGTAGTTTTGACCTCTGTTGACGCAATCACTCTTATTATAAGTGTAACAATGTTGGGGAATAATATGCGTTTGCTGCTGTGTCCCAAAAACCTGAACTCATTCCTTTTCCAATCATACGTAATTACATGTTTTGCTTTTATAATTTGTCATCTTTAAATTGTGTGTGTGTTTTGTGTTTGTGTTGTGTGCGTGTGTTTATTTGTGCCAAACTTCTTCATGTGTGTTTAGAAGCCTGACACGCGAAGCTCGAGAGGAAGTCTGGACCGAGAGGATGGAGGCCTGCCCACGGTGAGTCTCCCCATTCAGCTTTAAAAGAGACGAGGCCGTAGTAGTAGCCAAGGCAAGGCAATATATTGATGTAGCACAATTCATACACAAAGCAACTCAAAGTGCTCAACAAAAACAATCACACAAGGCATTAAAATCATAAATAATCACTGTATATTAAAAACTAAGATAAAAATATAAAATCTTTCAGAGAGCGGGATTTTATTGTATGCAGCTAAACAGAACTGTTTTTAACCTGGATTTAAACACTGTCAGAGAAGAAGCCTGTCTCACATCTTCAGGAAGATTGTCCCAGAGTTTAGCAGCATGAATCTTAAATGCCTCCCCATGTTTAGTTCTGACTCTGGGAACTAACAGGAGTCCAGTCCCTGTGCTCCTCAGAGTCCGAGTTGGTTCATATGGGACTAACATGTCACTTATGTATTTTGGTGCGAGGCCATGGAGAGACTTGTACACAAGCAGAGCTGTTTTAAAGTCTATTCTCTGAGCCACAGGAAGCCAGTGCAGAGACCTGAGGACTGGACTAATGTGGTCGTACTTCCTGGTTCTAGTCAGGACTCGAGCTGCTGCATTTTGAATGTACTGCAGCTGTTTTACAGCCTGTTTGGACAGACCTGTGAGCAGGCCATTGCAGTAGTCTAACCTACTGGAGACAAATGCATGGATAAGAATCTCCAGGTCTGCTTTAGACACTATGTTTTTGATCCTGGCAATGTTTTTTAGATGGTAAAAAGCTGCTGATGTTACTGATTTGATGTGGCTATTAAAATTTAAGTCTGAGTCCAGTATTACCCCTAGATTTCTGACCTTGTTTGAAGGTTTTAGGGAGAGAGACTGGAGGTGACAGATGACGCTCTCTCTTTGTTTCTGGGGACCAAAGACAATCATTTCAGTTTTGTCTGCGTTTAGCTGAAGGAAGTTGTTTTGCATCCACTCACTGATCTGTTGGATACAGTGAAGGAGTGAGTCCACTGGTCCATGTTCTCCTGCAGTCAGTGAGACATAGATCTGAGTGTCGTCTGCATAGTTATGATAGGAAACTTTGTTTCTGCGTATTAACTGCAGCTACCTTCAGCCTTCTTAAACAAAAGTGTTGCCCATAAATTAGTTAGAGACGAGAGAGAGACTAGAGATACACCATAGAGATAGTTGAGAATATTGTCACCACTTCTCGACATCTTTATGAGAAAATAATGAAATCAAAGAATATGTGGAACTTTGTGGCAGTTTTTGTTTGATGATCTCTAAACTAAGATACTGTACATGTGGAGAATAAAATTTTTCATTTGAACATTATTTGTATTTGTGTGCAATAGTACATTCCTCCCAGTGACAGTGATGCGGTGGGAACGCTCTGACCTGGCGCCGCACGAGGTCACTTCCTGTTCTGCGGTCATTAGCCTCAGTGCTAATCCAAACAAATTCTCACACAGGCATAAAGAGGTCCACCACTGATCTACTGAGGCAGCTCCGGCTGATAACCTGGACCTACTGTGTGTGTGTGTCGTAAACCTGTGGCTAAAGAACAGCTCCTTCGTCTGACGACTTATTATTTTAGGAAGATTCATCTCGTCTTCTGGTTTTGGTAGAAGTTTGGACACTTTCTTCCACTCAGTGACAGTGGTCGTGTGAAAGGCATCTGTAGCCAAAGATTGTTGGGTTGGTCTGAGGGAGGTTCATACAAGGTGGCCCAGGAATTTACAGGAACTGGAGGCTTTTTGCCAAGAAGATTGAGAGGATATGAGAGAGAAACCAGAGAGGGAGAGACCAGAACGAGAGACCAGAGAGACCAGAGCGAGAGACCAAAGAGAGAGAGGATAACAAACTCATCCATAACTACCACAAACAGTCAATAGATATACAAGAGCAGCACATGCTATTGAGAAGTGGGGGATGGAGACTTCTGATCAGGGTCAGAAGAGCAGTTTCTCTCATTATCATTTGAACATAGAAAACATGTTTATTAAACAAGAAATGGCTTCATACAACCACTAACAATCAGAAAGAAAAAAGTGTGTTTTTATTCATAATTCACAAAACAAAAAGGTTAAAAACAATGTGTTCTGGAGATTTGCGCTCAGTTGTCAAATAGTTGAACTGTACAGGACAGAAGTCAATAGAAGGAATAGATGTTTTTGTTTAATTAGTTTGGTGAGTACTGTAATTATAATTATAAAATGTACATGTTTTGTCTCGGCCGATCCCCAAACAGAGGTTGTTGGCGGATCCAGAGGCGGCAGGGTCCTGGAGCACAGATCTGCCTCTGTAATTCTGTGGTCTGTGGTCTGTGTGTGTGAAAACTGTTGGTATTTTGAGACTTGTTGAACTATGCAGCTCTTTTTAGGCGCTTTCACTCTGCAGCCCCGTGTTTTCTTGGCTTGTGTGGCAACGCATTGTCAACTCCGGAAAGGTCGGGGTGTTGTTTGAACCTGTGTCTGGGTTTTCACCACGGGGGAAAGAATGGTAAATTTAAAGGGTCAAAGCAAACTTCAGGCTTTCAAAAGATGTCTTCTAAAGTCACACGGCAGAAAGAGAGACCAGAGAGAGAACAGAGAGAGACCCAGAGAGAGAGACCTTAGAGAGATTCCAGAGAGAGAGACCTTAGAGAGATTCCAGAGAGAGAGACCTGTGAGAGATTCCAGAGAGAGAGACCTGTGAGAGATTGAAGAGAGGGAGGCCAGAGACCACATGGATGATAAAACTCACTAGTCCTTCATAATGTGATTCCCTCTGGTCTCTCTATGGTCTCTCTCTGGTCTCTCTCTGGTCTCTCTCTGGTCTCTCTCCGGTCTCTCTCCGGTCTCTCTCCGGTCTCTCTCCGGTCTCTCTCCGGTCTCTCCCTGGTCTCTCCCTGGTCTCTCTCCGGTCTCTCTCCGGTCTCTCTCCGGTCTCTCTCCGGTCTCTCTCCGGTCTCTCTCCGGTCTCTCTCCGGTCTCTCTCCGGTCTCTCTCCGGTCTCTCTCCGGTCTCTCTCCGGTCTCTCTCTGGTCTCTCCCTGGTCTCTCTCCGGTCTCTCTCCGGTCTCTCTCTGGTCTCTCCTTGGTCTCTCTCCGGTCTCTCTTCGGTCTCTCTCTGGTCTCTCTCTGGTCCTGGGTGCACTGCTGTTTAAAAAAACGTTATGACTTATTATTGTCACACTCCTGTCTTCCACATGGGAAAAAGCTGACACTAGCCAAAATGCTAGTTCCAGGCTAGTTTTTGGTGCTAGCGGCTAATAAACTCAGGCCTTTGAAATAAGTGGGTGCACACGTTGGATCCCTGTGGCTGTGAATTCTCTGCATTTTTCTCAATTAAACTGTTGATTTTTTAATTTCCTGTTGTGTGTTTGGATGTTTCTAACCCCGCCTTTGTGTTTGCAGAGTGGAAACCAGCACATCTACCAGCCCGTGGGGAAAGCAGGTACCAAATGTTATGACTCAACGATAAATGGCTTTGGATAGCACTCCAATTTGTCTTGCAGCTACCCAGATTCAGATTCAATTTATTTGCCATTTGCAGAATAACATATTGGAAAAGTCCCCAGTGTGCACCAGACAAGTAAAACAAACTAAAAAAGTATAGAAAACAATTGTCACTTTTATATCAATGAACAATTAATGTGACCGGCGGCACGGTGGCTGAGTGGATAGCACTCTCGCCTCTCAGCAAGAAGGTCCTGGGTTCAAATCCTGGTTGGACCAGGGCCTTTCTGAGTGGAGTTTGCATGTTCTCCCCGTGTCTGCGTAGGTTTCCTCCGGGTGCTCCGGTTTCCCCTACCACAAAAAATATGTACAATAGGTATGGCATGTGCCTCCTGTACTGGCACCCCCACTCCCAAAAAAATAACAATTGTAAACCGCTTTGAGACTCCGATGTGCAGTGAAAAGGCGGTATATAAATAAAAGCTTACTTACTAGCTTACTTACATATGTTAAAACTGATAACAACTTTTGGAAGGAAAGGGTTGGCATAGGCAGATGTCCTGCATCTCAGCCAACGGCATCTTCTGCCAGAGGGAAGAAGCTGGAACATGGATTTTCCAGGGGCCAAAGTCATTGATTATTTGAAGAGAAGATAATAAAGACTGTGAAATAAGAGAGAATAGGGATAGTGACCAGAGAGAGACAAGAGATAGACCAAAAGAGACCAGAGAGAGAAGAGTGAGACGAGTGAAAGACCAGAGAGAGACCAGAGGGAGACCAGAGGGAGACCAGAGAGAGACCAGAGAGAGACCAGAGAGAGACCAGAGAGAGACCAGAGAGAGACCAGAGAGAGACCAGAGAGAGACCAGAGACCTAATCTACAACAAACACAAAAGACTCAAGCTATTGTCTATGTTAAAGGGAAACAATGAGACCAGAGTAAGAGAGAGGAGAGGCCAGAGAGAGAGAGACCAGGGATAGGAAGCAGAGTGAGACACCAGAGAGAAAGAGAGGGTTCCAAAATCACGCTAGTGCAAGCTGGGGGTGGAGACAGAAGAGGAGTTTTTGTCATTATCATTTGAACTGAGAAAACGCGACCAGAAACGGCTTCATACAAACACTAATAATCAGAGAGAAAAAAGCTTCACAGTTTCTGAAGTATGGACAAAGAAAACAAGTGTGAACGTTGAAGCACAAATGTGTATTTCTGATCCAGAGCTAAAGCTATAATTGCCTCACATGTTAAAAGTTAAAGATGATAATTCAGGCTTGTGGATTTTGTGGTTTTGAAGAACTTCCCGCGGCCCCAAAGAAGCCTCCTCGACCCGGAGCCCAGAGCCAGGGAGGCGTGGCCTGCGTGAACTCAGCCGACAGCTACAACGACGGAGTCAAGGTGCTTTTCCACTGACAAAAGCACCAACACTCAACAGATATGAGTTTATTCAGGCTGGAGGTAAAGCTGGGGTACCTAACTTTCAAACCTCGACAATCTATCTTTTAGATGGATAAATAGATATTTTGTTGATCCCTGTAGGAGATAAATTCAGGTGTTTAGCAGCAGAAACACATCCATCCAAACAAACAAATAAATACATTATTAATAAGTTATTAATAATAATAATAATACATTGTTTTTATATAGCTCTTTCAAGAACTCAGACGCTTCACAATTCAGGACACACACATACACATTTAGACAGACTCACAGAACTAAAATCAAAAAGCAGGATAGAAGAGTGCAATGCTGAAACTAAGAGTGGTATGCTTGGAGGAAGAGGTGAGTTTTAACTGTTTTTTTTAGTGAGTCCGAGTTTCTGAGGTGAGGGGGGAGAGATATCCAGAGAGTGGGAGCAGAGATGGCGAAAGCTCGGCCCCCCCAATCCAAGTATGAAGTCGCAGTTGTGCAGTAGGTCACAGCAACGGAGGTGGTGTCCCCGCTGGAAATTAGCTGCTTCCTATTCTTTCTGGAACCAGTTTGACCTAGAAAATCATTTTAAGTACCCCCTGTAATACTGCCACATTCCCCCAGAGGTCCACATACCCCTGGTTTGGAAACTTTGCTGCAAGAAAAGTCTACTCTTAGGTACCCCAGTTTTAGTTTCTTCAGGGTTTGTTATTATTCAAGATATGAGTATGTTTTATTGTCTTAAGGAAATGGCAATGAAACAAGCATAAAAAAAAGTGGTCCATGGTTTATCGCAGGAGTGATGTGTTCTAGAAATAACACACAAGTGAAGTCTTCTCAGTAGCAGCTCTATGTTTTAAGAGTGTAAATCCCTCACACTTTAGACACTTTTGTAGCCACCTGAACTCACGACTGCTGAAGAGAGAGAGACCAGAGAGATAGTCCAGAGAGAGAGAGAGACCAAAGAGAGAAAGGCCAGAGAGAGAGACCAGAGAGGGAGACCAGAGAGGGAGACCAGAGAGGGAGACCAGAGAGGGAGACCAGAGAGGGAGACCAGAGAGGGAGACCAGAGAGGGAGACCAGAGAGGGAGACCAGAGAGAGAGAGACCAGAGAGAGAGACCAGAGAGAGGGAGACCAGAGAGGGAGACCAGAGAGGGAGACCAGAGAGAGACCAGAGAGAGAGAGACCAGAGAGATAGTCCAGAGAGAGAAAGACCAGAGAGAGAGACCAAAGAGAGAAAGACCAGAGAGGGAGACCAGAGAGGGAGACCAGAGAGAGGAGACCAGAGAGGAGACCAGAGAGAGAGACCAGAGAGGAACCAGAGAGGAGCAGAGAGAGAGAGAGACCAGACAGAGAGAGAGACCAGAGAGAGAGACCAGAGAAAGAGACCAAAGAGAGAAAGACCAGAGAGGGAGACCAGAGAGGGAGACCAGAGAGGGAGACCAGAGAGGGAGACCAGAGAGGGAGACCAGAGAGGGAGACCAGAGAGGGAGACCAGAGAGAGAGACCAGAGAGAGAGACCAGAGAGAGCGAGACCAGAGAGGGAGACCAGAGAGGGAGACCAGAGAGGGAGACCAGAGAGGGAGACCAGAGAGGGAGACCAGAGAGGGAGACCAGAGAGGGAGACCAGAGAGAGAGAGACCAGAGAGATAGTCCAGAGAGAGAAAGACCAGAGAGAGAGACCAGAGAGGGAGACCAGAGAGGGAGACCAGAGAGGGAGACCAGAGAGGGAGACCAGAGAGGGAGACCAGAGAGAGAGAGACCAGAGAGATAGTCCAAAGAGAGAAAGACCAGAGAGAGGGAGACCAGAGAGAGAGACCAGAGAGGGAGACCAGAGAGAGAGACCAGAGAGGGAGACCAGAGAGGGAGACCAGAGAGGGAGACCAGAGAGAGAGACCAGAGAGGGAGACCAGAGAGGGAGACCAGAGAGGGAGACCAGAGAGGGAGACCAGAGAGGGAGACCAGAGAGGGAGACCAGAGAGGGAGACCAGAGAGGGAGACCAGAGAGGGAGACCAGAGAGGGAGACCAGAGAGAGAGAGACCAGAGAGAGAGACCAGAGAGAGGGAGACCAGAGAGGGAGACCAGAGAGGGAGACCAGAGAGGGAGACCAGAGAGGGAGACCAGAGAGGGAGACCAGAGAGGGAGACCAGAGAGAGAGAGACCAGAGAGATAGTCCAGAGAGAGAAAGACCAGAGAGAGAGACCAAAGAGAGAAAGACCAGCGAGAGGGAGACCAGAGAGAGAGACCAGAGAGAGAGACCAGAGAGGGATACCAGAGAGGGATACCAGAGAGGGAGACCAGAGAGAGAGAGACCAGAGAGGGAGACCAGAGAGGGAGACCAGAGAGGGAGACCAGAGAGGGAGACCAGAGAGGGAGACCAGAGAGAGGAGACCAGAGAGAGAGACCAGAGAGAGGAGACCAGAGAGGGAGACCAGAGAGGGAGACCAGAGAGGGAGACCAGAGAGGGAGACCAGAGAGGGAGACCAGAGAGAGAGAGACCAGAGAGATAGTCCAGAGAGAGAAAGACCAGAAAGAGAGACCAAAGAGAGAAAGACCAGAGAGAGGGAGACCAGAGAGAGAGACCAGAGAGGGAGACCAGAGAGAGAGACCAGAGAGGGAGACCAGAGGAGGAGAGAGACCAGAGAGAGAGACCAGAGAGGGAGACCAGAGAGGGAGACCAGAGAGGGAGACCAGAGAGAGAGAGACCAGAGAGAGAGAGACCAGAGAGAGAGAGAGAGAGAGAGAGAACCAGAGAGAGGGAGACCAGAGAGGGAGACCAGAGAGGGAGACCAGAGAGGGAGACCAGAGAGGAGACCAGAGAGGGAGACCAGAGAGGGACGAGAGAGCAGAGAGGGAGGAGAACCAGAGAGAGAGAGAGACCAGAGAGATAGTCCAGAGAGAGAAAGACCAGAGAGAGAGACCAAAGAGAGAAAGACCAGAGAGAGGGAGACCATAGAGAGAGACCAGAGAGGGAGACCAGAGAGAGAGACCAGAGAGGGATACCAGAGAGGGAGACCAGAGAGAGAGACCAGAGAGGGAGACCAGAGAGGGAGACCAGAGAGGGAGACCAGAGAGGGAGACCAGAGAGGGAGACCAGAGAGAGAGAGACCAGAGAGATAGTCCAGAGAGAGAAAGACCAGAGAGAGAAAGACCAGAGAGAGAGACCAAAGAGAGAAAGACCAGAGAGAGGGAGACCAGAGAGAGAGACTAGAGAGAGGACTTTGTGAGTTGCAGGCAACTTGAGCTAAGAAAAGAATATTTTGATTTGTTCGTACATTTCTAAAAACGTTTCTCTGTGTAAAGTTTTCTCCAAAAAGCCAAGGTTTTGTTGTTGCTTGAACTGACACAAAAGCTGCTTGTTCCATTGCGATTGTTGTGAAGACAGTTAAATGCACTTTTGATCTATTTCTGATGCACACACTCTCACCAGCCCTAAATACTGCACTATAAACTCTTTAGAATGCACTAATAACACCTGTTATCTCTATGGAGCTGTTCAGTCATGTCACTCTGCACTTCCGGGTCCAGGACAAGCCCCGGCGATCCAAGATGGCGCCGTATTCAAATGAATGGTTTGTGCTCAGTGGCGCATTGTGTCGGCTTGGGCGTCGAAAGAACTCCGCCTGGAACTCGCAAAGATCCATGGAAACTCGCCTGTATTTGGGCATCGTCTGGTCCTCCCGGTTCTGCGCAGTGGATGATCTCTCATGATGCGTTGCGCCAAATACGCGTGTGTGTCTCTCACGCACGTGCACAGAGGGGCTCGGCCGCGATCTGACCAATCAGCAGCTCATCAGAGCGGGAGCCAGACGGGCAGAGTTTGTGGCACTAAAGTATGGATTTTATTAAAAACGAAGGATTTAATAAGAAAAAAAATTCAGGATGACAAGGGACACTAAAATCCCCACAAAATGCAACCTTTATGAAAGCTGTAGGTTCTCTGTCAGCTGAGGTCGTGCTGTTTTAGTTGACATTGAGTTCTATGGGGAAAATTTCTGGGTAGCCCACATGAATTTAGTCTGTTTTAGTCTGCAGTACCGCGAGAATCCACCGAGCACATGCGTTTTTCAGCTCCAAGCTAGTAATACCCTATCCAGTTAATATAATAGATCCATGGTCCAGGCTAAAGCTAGCTGTTAGCTAAAGCACCGTATTGCTATTGCTTCTACAACACATCTCTTCTCTCATTGGCGTTAACACTAAAACCGTTATTCAAGCCTCTTTAACCTATTATTTTTTCTCATCAAAATACTGTTTAGGTTACCAAAATCTTTCCACATACTTTTATCCCAGCTTTTAGCGGCTGTTAGAGATTTGGTTATAAATGGACTTTTGTTGTGTTAGAGAGCCCCCTGGAGGCTGAAGGGGGAGTCACAGCAGCGCATTACAGTACTGTACCATAGACTGTATATATTAATGGACAGAGTCACGCCTATCTCCGCCGTTCATAGGAGTTGGCCATGAAAAGTGCTTTCATAGAGCAATCCAAAATGGCCGCGAGTGGTCCCGCCCACAAGAAAATAGTGAAAAAACGCATCTGCGCATGCGTCAGCCGGAGCAGCTCCATTCATTTGAACGAGATACTTCAAAAATTGCCCGCGAGTAAACTAGAGTGGACCAAAAAAAATCACCCCCTCAGCATTGACACACATGTGGAACGGAGCTTTGGGCCAAGAGCCAACTTTTGGTCCATCCTGTAAAGACGTTTTTGAGACGTCTGCCAATGCTATATGTTAGCATTGGCTAATTCTACTTCTGGGTCCACCCCCAACGGCCCGGGGTGGTATTGCAGCTTGTCAGCGCACGTCGTTTTGGCCACTTTTGAGCTGGGACCCTCCCCCACAGTACTGTACAAGCGTTGGACAGTGGAGCTTCTCGCAGATCGTGAAAAACAAAACAGATTCTGAAACATACACAGCGGCTGTTTGTGACTCTGAAGGCTCGGATCCTAAAGCTGCTGTTAATACTGACATTAGAATCTATGTGTGATGCAATTCATCACAACTAATCTTATTTTAAAATGCAATTAATTGGATTAAACCAATTGATCATTGTTCACAACAGTACAGTGCAGTAAGGCTGCGCATCTGTCGTCTCTCGTGTTGGCGATAAATTTCAGCTGATATTACAGTCCGCTCCAGAGCCTGACAGTTACAAATTACAATAAGTTTAGTTTGATCAGAACGACAGCTCTAACTCTGATGTGAGCGGTGACATCACTGAACAGTGTGTGATCCCTGCATGTTTTAATGTGTGTCTTTTTTGTGGATGCACTCTCTCTGCCTCCTGCTCTCTCTCACCACAGCCCTGGAGGGTAAGCACTGTGTGTGTGTGTGTGTGTGTGTGTGTGTTTTTGCGTCTGTCTGTGTGCGTGCGTGTGTGTGTGAGTGAGTACACACGCATCTGTGAGTGTGTTCACTGTTCTGTCCATAATCCTCATTTTTGCTTCTCTAACACATATTTACTAATTCTAGTCAAAACTCTGTTTCAATTGTGTCTCATTAGGCAAAAATCACAGAGCGTATTTTCTGTTGCGCTCCTTTTTCTGCAGACGTGAGACACACACACTGAGCCGCAACACTGCACAGAACTACACACACTGAGCCGCAACACTGCACAGAACTACACACACTGAGCCGCAACACTGCACTGCACTACACACACTGAGCCGCAACACTGCACAGAACTACACACACTGAGCCGCAACACTGCACAGAACTACACACACTGAGCCGCAACACTGCACTACACACACTGAGCCGCAACACTGCACAGAACTACACACACTGAGCCGCAACACTGGACAGAACTACACACACTGAGCCGCAACACTGCACTACACACACTGAGCCGCAACACTGCACTACACACACTGAGCCGCAACACTGCACTACACACACTGAGCCGCAACACTGCACAGAACTACACACACTGAGCGCGCCGCGGTCATCCCAAAAATAGTTTTTGTTCTACTCGACACTTGCAGCGAAGCATCTTTGAGTCAAAATACAGGTATCTTATCAGCACCACATCCCAGAACCTGTGTGTTACACCAGAAGGAGGCACAAGTTTGATACTGATTATTTTTTCACAAAGTCTGATAAAAACCAGCTGCAGAGACCATGAGGACCAACACACACCTGCACCAGAGATCTCCAACCTTATTAGTGCCACAGAGCGGTTTAACATCAGACAATAACAGCACTGACGCAGCGCTGTGTCTTCCTTATGTATTAGCCGAGCTCCGTCGGTTTGTGTGTTGACAAACTGTTCTCATTCATTGTGGTTTCAGCTGAAATCCATTCCCGCTCTTGTCGCTTCTTCTCTTGTCTCATATTAAAGCTCCCACAGGCGCCTCATACACTCTCCACTTTTCATTCTCTTTACTCCGCATTTGCAAAGCTTAATTTTGTCCTCTTCAGAACATAGGGACACAACAGAGGGACATTTCTGTTTACGTTTCAGCGCTATCGAGTCACATGACCAAGATGTACAGAGAGAATCCGGTCATTTTCAAAATAAATGATTTTTTAGACTTTATTTAGTCTAGAAATTATTTTGGAAATTATTTTGAATGCCGAAATATGTCCCATTGTTCAAATGTTCCACGGTGCGAATGTCCCATGGCTTGGCATCAGTCAGCGGACCAGGGGTCGGGGACCACAGCTCTACACTTCCCCATAAACCTCTGCTCTCGCTCACCGCTTCCGCCACTTCTTTTTGCTGAAGTTTAGAGTCTGCAGTAAACGCTAACTGCTTTCTTGGTCGTTGCTCACATGAGGCTGAGACGTAGAAGGTTCTAAAACTACACACAAGTCACACAAGAGACAATACTTCACATAATGACAGCGTGTGGAGCCGTGTTTGAGTGACTGAAGTGACTGAGTGACAGAGTTTGGGCTGTTGCGGGTGCTGCTCTTTCCTTTATAAAGTTGTCCTTGTTATATGTATTTTGTAAAGTGTCCATGTTGCTCTGTGTGTGCTGAGAGGTGCTGGGAGTGGTGTTGTGTGGGAGTGGTCTCAAAGGACTGGATACAACTGGGGCAAAAAAGTAAAAAGTAAAAAGTAAAAATATTGAACTATGGTCATGGATCATCACTGAAAGATAACTCAAGGCCAGATTTTCTGTTTTCAAATTATTTCATCATTGAGCCGCTCTGGGGAGATTCCAATTCTGCAGTTCATGCAAGGCAACCCAGGAATGTATAGGAAGAGGCAGACTCCAGAGAGAGACACCAGAGAGAGACACCAGAGAGAGACTCCAGAGAGAGACACCAGAGAGAGACACCAGAAAGAGACACCAGAGAGAGACTCCAGAGAGAGACACCAGAGAGAGACACCAGAGAGAGACACCAGAGAGAGACACCAGAGAGAGACACCAGAGAGAGACACCAGAGAGAGACTCCAGAGAGAGACACCAGAGAGAGACTCCAGAGAGAGACTCCAGAGAGAGACTCCAGAGAGAGACTCCAGAGAGAGACTCCAGAGAGAGACTCCAGAGAGAGACTCCAGAGAGAGACACAAGAGAGACACAAGAGAGACTCCAGAGAGAGACTCCAGAGAGAGACACCAGAGAGAGACACCAGAGAGAGACACCAGAGAGAGACACCAGAGAGAGACACCAGAGAGAGACACCAGAGAGAGACTCCAGAGAGAGACACCAGAGAGAGACTCCAGAGAGAGACTCCAGAGAGAGACTCCAGAGAGAGACTCCAGAGAGAGACTCCAGAGAGAGACACCAGAGAGAGACACCAGAGAGAGACACAAGAGAGACTCCAGAGAGAGACTCCAGAGAGAGACACCAGAGAGAGACACCAGAGAGAGACACCAGAGAGAGACTCCAGAGAGAGACTCCAGAGAGAGACTCCAGAGAGAGACTCCAGAGAGAGACTCCAGAGAGAGACACCAGAGAGAGACACCAGAGAGAGACACCAGAGAGAGACACAGAGAGAGACACAAGAGAGACTCCAGAGAGAGAGACTCCAGAGAGAGAGACTCCAGAGAGACCAGAGAGAGGACTCCAGAGAGAGACTCCAGACTCCAGAGAGAGAGAGAGAGAGACTCCAGAGAGAGAGACTCAGAGAGATAGCTCCAGAGAGAGACTCCAGAGAGAGACTCCAGAGAGAGACTCCAGAGAGAGACTCCAGAGAGAGACTCCAGAGAGAGACACCAGAGAGAGACACCAGAGAGAGACACCAGAGAGAGACTCCAGAGAGAGACACAAGAGAGACTCCAGAGAGAGAGACTCCAGAGAGAGAGACTCCAGAGAGATAGACTCCAGAGAGAGAGACTCCAGAGAGAGACTCCAGAGAGAGACTCCAGAGAGAGACACCAGAGAGAGACACAAGAGAGACTCCAGAGAGAGAGACTCCAGAGAGAGAGACTCCAGAGAGATAGACTCCAGAGAGAGAGACTCCAGAGAGAGACTCCAGAGAGAGACTCCAGAGAGAGACTCCAGAGAGAGACTCCAGAGAGAGACTCCAGAGAGAGACTCCAGAGAGAGACTCCAGAGAGAGACTCCAGAGAGAGACACCAGAGAGAGACACCATAAAGAACTTCTTTATCACCTCATTATCAGTTCAAAATAGAAAACCTGTTATAATTTAACAACAAATGAGTTCACACAACCACTAGCAAAGAATCAAAGTGCTTTTGCTTAATTCAAAGTCTCTGAAATATGGACAATGTACTCAAGAAATAAATTACTGTATAAGTGTAAATAAGGTACTCCAGGTGTAAACTAAAATTAATGAAATTAGCAAAAATGAATAAGTTCAAAATTGTAACGAGAGCTAAGAACTTCCAGTAGCTGTTCCAGAAACTTTTTCCTACAATATCTTTGTTTTGGTCTCTCTCTGTATCATTTTCTTCAGCCTGTCCTCCATCCAGTGTGATTATTGTAGCTTTGTGTTGGCGCCCTCTACTGACAACAACATGCCTTAGCACTAACCAGACACTCCTAATCCACTCCTCATCCACCCCCTGTCTGTCAGTGTAAACCTGTGTGCCTCCTCTCTGCTGCTTCTGTTTGCATGTTCTCCTCACCGCTGTCCTGTATCTGCTCCAGCTGCAGCCTCAGGAGATCAGCCCTCCCCCCACGGCCAACCTGGACCGCTCCAACGACCGCGTCTACGAGAACGTGACGGGGCTGGTGAAGGCGGTCATCGAGATGTCCAGCAAGATCCAGCCAGCTCCACCAGAGGAGTACGTGCCCATGGTCAAGGTAAGAAAATCTGTGAAATAAAAGTCTGATAATTGCTTGAATGGAGTGGTTTTTATCTGAATTAAAACAATATTTGCCAATGGGACAAAGCTATTTATTATTTATTTCAAGAACAGTTAAAGGCAGCTCAAGTTTAGATTTAAATTGTGGCCATACCTACAGGTGAGAGCCAGATCCTGTCAGACCTCTGAGGCTTAGCAGGACAGGGCCTGGTTAGTCCTGTGATGGGAGACCTCTGAGGCTCAACAGGGCAGGGCCTGGTTTAGTTTAGTTTATTGTCTATAAAACAGGGACAATGTACAAAAACCATTATTCTTTACAAAAGAAGATGCGATTTGCACCAGATTTAGCTGCAGCTACTTTCCATCTGTAGTCCTGGTTAGTACTGTGATGGGAGACCTCTGAGAACACCAGGTGCCACAGTGGGGCGGCTGGGTTAGGGTACCACATTGTGTCCTTAGGCAAGACACTTCACCCACATTAGAATGAGTCTGGTGTGTGTGTTTGAATGGTTGGCACATGCCTTGCATTCTGTCAGAGTGCTACAGGGCAGTTTAGCATGTCATTTCTTCTTATCATTTTGTCAAGTTTTTTTCTTGTTTTTCATCACTTTTTCCAATGTGTGTATAACTGAGGAGAACCTGCCTAGGGTCATATTAAAGCTGGGGCATGTAACTTTGAAACCACAACAATGGAACTCTGTGATAACTGTCGATCACTCTCGCTGTGGTCCTCAGAGTGACCTCTCTCTGCGTTTCAGGACGTGGGTCTGGCTCTGAGGACGCTGTTGGCCACTGTGGACGAGACGCTCCCGCAGCTCCCAGCCAGCACGCACAGAGAGGTACTTACTAATGCTCACTAAATAGATCGATTGATTCTTTATTAATCCCTGTAGGAGAAATTCAGGTGACCAGCAGCAGAAGCACATCCATCCATAAAACAAATACATAATTCTAGTTAAGTTCATGACAACAGTAATAAAGTGTATCAGAACTTCAGGCTACAGCAGCAGAGTTGGTGCAGCCGCTGGTGAGGAGCTGCTTCCTCTGGTTGCTGCTGTTTCCGGCACATTCAAAAAACTCTTTAGAAAACCTCTTTACAACAACCGGCGCGCCGGCGTGCCGTTTTCGTTTTTAAAATGTTCAACCAGCAATAACAGATGCATTTTGAACACCAAACCCCAAAAGCTGTATGTCATTTTAAAGCTTATTTTCGTATTTACAATTATATACAAGTGTCAGCAATATCAGACATGCATTCAAAAGATATAACACATAATATGGGAACAAAATGAATCAGCTCCGAAAAAGTTTCTTACCATTTTCCGTGTACTACATAAATAAATCAGCTCTCCTCCCAGCTTGCTATGGCTTATTCTCTCCATTACTGTCCATGGAAAACGGAAATCCACTTGTGTTTCCCAAAGTATAATCCATTGTGCAGAAATCATCCAAAAACAAGCATTTATTTTTAGCGAGAAAAAAAATTTGAAACAGCACGGACGCAGCTTTTCACTGTTTGCGGAAATGCAGCTTTGCCTTTCCCCCACAAAGAGGGTAGGCTTGTGTTCCTCCCCTTGTTAGCTACACAATGAGACTATCCCCGAAGAGATAGGTGCTTGATTTCGTTCGCTGCGTCTCTGTGAATAAAACAAGCGACTCCCTTTTACGCACGGCCACTTTCTGTTTGTTTAGCAGGGCAGGGAGGGGGACGTGGTAAAGCCGAATGAATGGCATGGCCGTGTAGCCAATGAGGAAAGCTTTCGAACAAGGGGTGGGACAATGGTGTCCTGTCTTATGTTGTGCCTGTAGAATTGTGCGTAATGGCAGCCAAAAGACGCTCTCGAAGCTGCAATGAATTTACACTCATAAAAAAATAACTTTGACCATAATAAAAAATATTGTTTTTATGATGATTAAATGTAAGTAAAGATATTTGTGCACTACTTGATGAAAAGGAGAAACTGCATAAAAACTATAAAACTTAGAAGTCTGAAACTTTAGACAGTTGTTGTCAACAACACAATGACCACAGGGTTTGAATATTGTGAACTTACAATGAAGTATGCCTTTTTTAGGGCCTTTAGAAATTGAAAATGTTAGGCGAGGCTAAAAAAATTGGGTTTTTTTCCCAAACTTCAAAGGATGCAAAGGGAAATAGGAATGACAAACATTATTTTAGTGTTTTTTTACATAAACTAGAAGGCTCTAGCTTTAAAATGATGCATCACACAAGCATGTGAGATGTAAGATGTGTTTTTAAATAAGCAAAGACATTTGGGTATGCCCAACTTTTGTGCACAAGCCAAAATGAGGCGGGTGTTAAGAGGTTAGATATGCTCCAATACTCACTAAATACTATCTCATTACTGTGAGTTTGTCATACTCTGATTCTATGATGCAACGTCTCTGTTCACAGATTGAAATGGCACAAAAACTGTTGAACTCTGACTTGGCGGAGCTCATTGGGAAGATGAAGTTAGCCCAGCAATATGTGATGACCAGGTGAGTGCCACGTCCCGCCTAAAGCTGGGGTACCTAACTTTCAGGCCACAAACAAATGAAACTATGTAATAAAATCTGTCTCTAGTTCCTGCTTCTATCTCTACTGCACTTTTTTGTTTTTTTGGCCTCTTTTACATGTTTAGATCAGCATTTAACAGAAAAGGTAAATAACCACTCTGCTTCCGGCTCAAATAGTCAAATAGTGACGCAACAAAGAGGTCCCTCTGTCCCTCACTCACATACACACCCTCACACACACTCTCACTGTCTCTCATTATCTGTCAGGGAGACTCTCTCTCTCTCTCACACACACCTTGTCTCCCTTTCTCCTCTCTCACACACACACACACACACACACTCTCACTCTCTGTCTCCCTAACACGGACTCTCACTCTCACAAACACACTTTCACTCACTCACTCACTCACTCACTCACACACACACCCTTGCTCTCTCTTTATCTTGTACAAGATGCAGATATAAATATAACGAGGATGTACTTCCACACCTGTACCAGCAGGTGGCAGTGGTCCCTCCCACATCACTAACGTCTCTATCTCTCTCAGCCTGCAGCAGGACTACAAGAAGCAGATGCTGACCGCCGCTCACGCACTCGCCGTGGACGCCAAGAACCTGCTGGACGTCATCGACCAATCGCGGCTCAAGATGATGGCCCCGCCCCGCCCGCACTAGCCAAACGGACCGAGCTAACACCAAAGACTCTTCCACACGAGAGAGAGAACCCTGAAGCTAGAACTGAGTCTGTGAAGAAACTGTGTTCACTTTAGCAGAAAGCTTTTGACTCTTTAGCCACAGACTGATCTCCGGTTGCCGCGGCAGCTTCCGGAACGCAAAGGAGACAATGTAATGCTATTTATATGAAATCTGTCTGGACACGCGACACGAGCCAAAACCTCCAGGGGGCGACAGAGAGGAGCTGGTGCTGGGGTCCTTCCGAGTGCAAAGGTTTAGTGCATCTGATCCACAAGGTTTTATTATTATTGTTGTTATTGTTATGGTGGAAATCCAAGCAGACAATCAGAAATACATCGACCGATTAGCGAAGCGTCGTCCGTCGCTAAATATATTGTAAATAGTAATATGGTTCTTCAGCTCGCACAGATAGCTGACATGTTAAAGAAGACGTATTATGCAAAAACGCTCCGCAAAAACTGACCTGGATTTTTTTTTTTAGATCCATTCCTCGCCAGTAACAAACATGTAACTCCGCCCCTTGTGTTTTAAGATTAAGATGAAGAGATCCTTTATTGGTCCCACAGCAGGGAAATGTCAGTGTTGCATCACAAGTTACAGAACAGTAGGAATGAGCACACAGCACGAGAAAAGTGAATAACTAATACTAAATGCTAATACTAAAATCCAATCTCTGACTTTAGCATGATAAACAAGCAAGTATTATAGGTCCTGTCTCAGTATTTTAATTATTTTAATTATTTTAACTCCCAGAGTCGTCGTTTTGACTGCTTCCTTTCAAATTTCCTTTTAAAACTAAAATATTGTCCATAAATTAGTTTTTTTGTAAGGTTCATCACAAATTGATAACTTGCAGCTGGTTATTTTCAAAAAATACTAAACTCATTATTACCCCTCCCTCTGGTGGTTGCACAGGGAGTTACAGGCGGAAAGTATTATTTTCCCTTTATACTTGTTTCACCATATATTTTCAGCTGAACATATTATGTTACGTTAAAACCTAAAATGAAAAAGTTAAAAGTCTCATTAATATTTTTGAACGGGCAAAAACAATGCATACTATGTCTTCTTTAAAGTTAGTCCTGTTTAAGCACAATGCACAACACAACGACTTAAGACCGACAACGTGAGAGACTGTGTGAAGTTTGGAGATATTTTTGTAATTATCCTTCTCTATTCTAATTCTATCTCGCTGAATCTCGTGTTGAAAGCCCAGACTGAGATCAGATGCACTAAACCTGTGGCACTTCTTGCTCCTGTTAAACACAGACCTCTAGAATCTACAATGTGAAACTCTCCCTGGCTCTTCCTGCTTCATATCAACTGGACCGGGTCAAACCCGCTCCACTTTCTCTTCTCTGGAGGAAACCCACCGTCTCTGCCTCCGTCTCTCTGCTTTTATTTATAGACTTTGGTACTGCAGGGACGGGCGTAATGACGACGCACGACCACCAGGAGGCCTCACTCTCCTTCAGTCTTCCTCCAGCTACACTGTACAAACGTGGGTCTCACTTGGACTCATCATTTCTGTGTTTACGTTGTATTTATTTCTGACAATTTTCACATGACAATTTTCTGACTTCTGAGAAAGACAGTCCTTAACTCGTCAGAAAGTTTTTAAAACCAGTGAAATATTATCTAGTTTCCTTGTTTACCACAGAAAAACTGCCCTTACACAATGTTGGTGATGCTAAAGTGTGCTGCAAAAGTATTCATACATCTTGAGATAGACGCCCCAAATATAATTTATTGGATTATTTTCTTTTTTGGCCTTTTATTTTTCTCTGAGGCACAGTAAGTGGAGGATCAGTGAAGGCTACAAAGGCCGAAACGTCAATATTCATCCATTTTCTTCTGCTTTATCCGTGGCCGGGTGGCGGTGGCAGCAGTCTAAGCAGAGATGCCCAGACTTCCCTATCCACACACACCTCCTCCAGCTCATCTGGGGGAATCCTGAGGCGTTCCCGGGTCTCCTCTCTCCCCAAAGAGGCATCCAGGAGGCCTCCCAAACAGATCACCTGTCTTCCTGCGACGTGGAGAAGCAGCGGCTCTACTCCGAGCTCTATCAGCCACTTTGCGGAGGGAACTCATGTGGGCCGACCTCCTTTCAATCAGTACCTAAAGAAATGTTCCAAAACGTTATCAAATACACTTTTTTAATACGTTTTTCGGGCCCTGAGGCAAATGTATGTATTTTTATTTGTATATTATATGTCACTCGCTGTTAAATTTTAAAAATATCATGTTAAAGTTGTTTGCATTTAGAATTAGATGAATATTATCACAAAATTTGGTCTGGTTCAAGTATCAGTGTAGATCATAGACTGTATATATTAACGGACAGAGTCACGCCTATCTCCGCCGTTCTAACTAATGGGCCAAAAAATGTGCTCTACTGGAGTTATCCAAAATGGCCGCGAGTGGTGCCGCCCACAAGAAAATTGTGAAAAAACGCATCTGCACATGCGTCAGCCGGCGCAACTCCATTCATTTGAACGAGAGACTTCAAAAATTCACAGCAAGTAAACTAGAGTGGACCAAAAAAAATCACCCCCTCAGCATTGACACACATGTGGAACGGAGCTTTGGGCCAAGAGCCAACTTTTGGTCCATCCTGTAAAGACGTTTTTGAGACGTCTGCCAATGCTATATGTTAGCATTGGCTAATTCTACTTCTGGGTCCACCCCCACAGGTCCGGGGTGGTATTGCAGCATGTCAGCGCACGTCATTTTGGCCACTTTTGAGCTGGGACCCGCCCCCATCGGTGTAGATGAAGAGCTCGGAGTAGAGTCGCTGCTCTGCGTCACTGTTTATTTCACTTCGGCAAAAAAAAATATTGTGACGAATCAACTGCAATGATTCAGTTTAAACTGGTTAAAAACTGTTAAATCAGCAGCAAAATCCTGATCCTGAAGTCTTTTTTTTTTTTTTATTAAAACTGAAAAAGTAATATCGCCACATTTCACTTTGCACTGCTCCACGATCCCAAGTTTTTGAGACTTTTAAAACGAGTCACGCTTTTCACCCAATGAAGAGTTTCGAGCCCAGACTTCACTGCAAAATAATTAACATCCAGGAGGGAACGACTTGAATCACAAATACGTTCTTACTTTTAACGGGTTTGAAATGAAAGGAAAAAGGTACGTTGGATTCAAAATGGCCGCTCTCCCCCATGTTGCAGTGTGTCCAGTTAGCGGTTACCATGGATGGTTTAAGTATTCTAAAAGCACAATTAGATGTTGTTATTGCTCTTAAAGCTGGGGTATGTAACTTTCAAGCCACTAACATATAGCGCTAAGTAAAAAAAATCCATGTACCTAGTTCCTGGCTTTAAAACAGTTGCTTCTGTCACTTGTTTTCAGGTGTGTTTTTGGCCTCGGTCACATCTGTAGCTTTTTCAGACTGAAAAGTGAAAAAGAGAGGAGCCCCCTCACTCAGCCAATCAGCTCTCAGCCCAAAGAGGCATCTAGTGACTCACAGGGCTTTTTATTACACATTTTTTCTACTAAGATGAAGACTGAATATTGTGGCGCTTCTGTCGGAGGAAACTACAAGTTAAGTACTCCAGCTTTAAGAATAGACATTTTTTTATAGAGCACTCAGATAATCGTTTAATGACGGTAGATTGAAATGAAAATGTGTTGTCAAAGTATTTTAATCAAACAGCCCACTGTGTAACGAGTCCCTCTGAGTGGCATCTGCTCTCACTACACTCAATCATAATGAAAGCAAAACCATCGGTCTCTAGATGTGCGACGCCTGTGAAGACATATCCAAAACCATGTCTCGTTTTTCACTTCAGTCTGTTGCTCTCTTCTGATTTCTTTTTGTTCGAAACTTGACAAAATGTGCAAAAGTATCAGTACGTTTGTATGAGTACTTTTGCAGACCACAGTTTTAACCATTGACTGTATGTGAGGGACGGACTGACCGCGGACGTCGTCGTAGCGTTGGCTTTAGAGCAGAAGAAAACGATTACACTGGAAAAAAATCCCCTGCAAAAAATACATGAAAATAAGTAAAATACTGCATAAATTAAGAAATAAATATCTGCCAATAGAACAAGAAAATATGACGTCACAAGATTTCTGAAAATAAGAAAATAATACTAGCCCCAAATGATAAAAACATACATTTCAAGTTTTATTTACTTATTTCAATGTTTTCTTGAAATACAGCATCGCATACTTATTTTATTAAAGCAAGAAAAGTTGTCTGGAAGTAATACTTACAGTACTTTTTAATACTTAATACTGAGCAGTAGGGGTGGGAACCTAAGGGTACCTCACGATACGATACACGATACAAAGCTCACGATAACGATAATATCACGATAACAATAATATCACGATAACGATAATATCACGATAACAATAATATCACGATAACAATAATATCACGATAACGATTTTATCACGATATGACGATTATTGATATATTGGTCAGAAATATACAATATGCCAATTTATGGCATAAATAAAAGAAAAATTACTCTTTATTTCATGATAAATAGAATGGAGAATACGTAATGTATATTAAGTATTGATACCAATTCCACAACAAAAAAAAAATTCTAAATCGATATCGATACTTGGCAAATGCATATCGATAATCGAATCGCGGGAGAAAGTATCGTGATATATCGACACCCCTACTGAGCAGTGAGTTTGTAATGCTTGTTTTATCTTAAAACTAGTGAAATATTCTCACATGACAAACTACATCCAAGCAAAAAGAAAAAAACTTGCTGTTAAAAAAAGAAGCACAATTTATGTTCGTTTTAGGAATTAATCCGACCAAGATTTTACTTTTTTCAGTGAGCTAGCTCAAACAGGCTATTTTAGCGAGAATATGTTACCGAATAGACACGATGATAGCAACGGCCAATAAGTGCCAATTAGGAGCAGTGCTATTCGCTCACTAAAGCTGAATTTGGCGACGGAAGGGCCCTGATTGGTCAGTTGTTAGCGCTCATATC